AGATCAAGATAAAATGATAAAAAGCAAAGAAATGCAGATTAAAGGTATGTTGTGTTTGGCTATTTCTTATTGGTTAGATATGTTTCATTTATAATGAATTATCAGGTAATATTCAAATATGTATAAGCAAACATTCTGGATGCTAAAAGGTTTAAAAGTTAGACACTGCAGGATATTTTGTAAAATTTTGTTTTGATTTTTCATTAAAGCAAATCTTATGCATATTTTGTGTACATCTTGATTGATTTTTATGTATTCAGAAAAGCTAAATTAGATTCAGGAATAATGGATCTGTAGAAATTGGTGATGTAATGTAGTTTTTTTTAAAATGTGTTAATAGTGTTGCTACAAATATATTTTCATATTTTCACTTTAAATATATATATATGTATATGTATATATATATATATATATATATATATATATGTCACACATTATGAAATGGACAAAGTCCGAAAATTATTTTAAGACATTTTTATGTTTATAGATTCTTTTTATAGATACAAATATTTAAGTAAATGCTCTGTTTATAATAAACAGTATTAAACAACATTTACTGGCCTGAATGTCTGAGAAATTTTCACAGAAAATATTCATCCTCCAACAGGATTCGAACATGTATCCTATATGGAACCATCATTTAGCTTGACGTGCATTTACCAATTTGGCCACAAAGGTGCGTTCGGTTAGCAAATACAGAAAATTCGACCAGTAAATGTTGTTTAATACTGTTTATTATAAACAGAGCATTTGCTTAAATATTTGTATGCCTGTTTCAAAATTGTTATGAACATTTTTGGTTCTGATCATATCCATAATAGTTTTGGATGTAAATGTAATTATTTTGATACTAAGATTGGATATATATTTTTGAACAGTAAATGTTAAGGAGTTGGTAGGTAATATTATATGTTTCTTTTCTTTTAGTTTATTATTATTGCTGTTATTGTTGCAGTTGTTATCTTTTTTGTTATAGATTTTGCATGCCTTACCTTTAGCATTGTGGATGAGACAGTTTAGGATATTGGAAAATAGAGGTATTTTTAATATATATTTCTTTTTCAGTTAAATACTGGCAGCTGCTTATTCTTAAAGTTATTAAATAAAATTCAATAATCAGTCCAGAATTTATACTACCACAATGGCAAGAATAATAATTTACGAGAACATTTTGATAGATTTTTTGAAAGCCATTATTGGTTCTATTTAGCATCATATCTCGTAAAGGTAATGTATTAATTTCAGTTTCAAAAGTAAAATCTATTGTGAATTCAACTCTAAGTTTATTTATAAGGTTAAGTAAAATGGTGTCATGTAGATATATTATTAAAGGATCATGTATGTATCTAAAATAGGAAGAATTTTGTCAAAATATTTTTGAAAAGACCACTTTCTAGAAGCTCTAAAAAGAGAAGCTAAAACACTGCTAAGAGGGGAACTCATTAGTAAAGAATGACCTCATAAACTATTATTCTCACCACTGTAGTATAATAAAATTTATGTCATAAATGCACTGAAAAATCAATGATGTATCGAAAACCAAAAAATCTGTAAAAACTTACTTCAACCTACATAATGCTTTACTATGACAGAATATAAACCTTTCTATTTTATTATCTGACACAGATAATGTTATAATGGTATTATAGAAGAGAAGTTTAAATATGTTTATATGAACAGCTTAAGCAAAAGAAAGCAAGTTTGTTTTGCAAATTATTGCTACCACAGTGAGTTTACTTTTATGTTTTGTTGAATAATATAAACATATTTTATTGCAGTTACAATAGCATGCTTGTCATTGCAATTTACCCCTGAAGAGGATCTTAGAAAAGATCGAAACTACTTGGTTAAAAAAAAAAAACAAACTATGGTGCCTTCCTTGCTGAACATGAAGAAACTGATTAGATAAATGGAAAGGGTCAGTATGTATGTGTGTGTGTATATATATATATATATATATATATATATATATATATATTATTACAATCATGCTTTGTCTTTTAGGTTGAAGAGAAGTGGCACCAAGCTTGCTGATTGTATCTGGAAATACAGAGAGAGGTATGGCAGAAGTCCTTGTGTAAAGTGGAACATCATAAGGAGGATAAAAATGGGCAGAATTTGTGGTGATTGTTGCTGGCTCTGTCAGGAAGAGAAATTGGACATTGAAACATATCCTGATAAAGGTATCTTACTAAATAAGAGAACTGAGGTTATCTCAGGGTGCAGGAAATTAAGTAAATATTTTTTAGATACCTATGAACCTGGATGAGCAAAATAAAAATTATTTAAAAAAAAAATTTTTACTCTCTTTTCCTCACTTACAATTTTTTTCTTCTCTCACCTTCCCCCATCCTCATGCATTTACCCTCTCATTTCCAGTCTTCTGTTATATTAGAGTAGTTTTCTTTGGCTTGTACATCATTCCATTTGTCTGAGGAGACCTTACAGGCAAAACCCAGGTTGTGAGGTTGGTTTGCATTTTAGCCTTTTCTTAAATATATATATATATATATATATATATATATATATATATATATATATATAATACACACACAATTTATAAAGGATTTTCCTCTGTATTCCTTTCATTCTTGTTACATGTGTCTTATTATAATTGCATTGCAAGGTTGTATTTTTGGCTTATAAGGACATGTACAAGAAAGTTCCTGACTGCCTGTAATGCTTTATCTTTACCAGAGCTGGATCAAACTGGAATAGTGCTGCTGTATCTGAACTGGAACTACCTTTCCAGCATTGATAGAGTTCAAAAGCATCTAAATAGCATTGTGAGTGACGAATTATTTTCCAATCTACAACCCCTTTCCCACAGAAAAAAAAATTCACAAGCCTCTCTACCTCTATTTCCATGGCCAATGTTCTAATCTATATTCATTAGTTCAACCAGTCCAGACCTTCAGAGATAAGACCCACCATGCCATGTATATATCCCCATTCCTTTCATATTCCATTAATGAAGAAGTTATATTTCAATAACTTCTTCCATTACTTTGTGGAACAGATTCCCCATTGGATGCTTACCTGATTGCTAGAAGCTTAACTTCTTTGACTCACAGTTCTACTCTTCTTTTTTCAACAATTTCCTCATAATCTGCACTTCTTACCTTCTTTTACATTCATATAATCTCATTCAGTATCCCTCTACTTTGAGTGGGTTTTAGGCCTTGCATTGGGTGAAGCAAAAAGACATATTTTATATGTATGCACACACAATCAAAATGCATGTTGCATGTACTTAGGCAAACAATATACTTTATGTCTCACATTATTAGCATTTCATGTTTTATCAAAATGTAAAATATAGGAACCTAAAGTTTTATTTTCTAAATGATAGCAACATCTATCTGTGCAGTTACGACAAACTGGTTTCCATTCTCACTATACAGATAAGTGTTGCCGACAGAATTATCTATTTTATATATCAATGAAACATTTTTCAATTCTGTTACAACTATAAAACTTCATTCAACTTTCATTATTTGACTGTGGATACTTTTTAATAAAATTTTTTCACTTAAGGTTTGGGTCACTGTTTTAAAATAATTTCAGTTAATTTCAACTGATGTTTTTACTGTGACAGTATTTGCCACTTGATGATAGTTTGACTTCTCCACAAATTGGTGCCCCCCCTTCCCAAATGCCAACACATTGGTGTGAGCTGACATACAATGTTTAGTCTATTAAAAATGCAGACTGACAAAGTTCAGCTCCAAGCAGCTTTCCTTCACTGCGCCAAAAAGACTGTCAGTGTAAATGCATCCCAAAATAAAAATGCTAAGGGAATTGGTTGCACAGTTAAATACTATCAAGTGTTTGACTCACTTTATTTTTTTAGTATAAGGCATAAAGACATTGAAAAAAATACATACAGCTTTTACAAGAAGAGATAAATTCTGCTTTCCAAACACAGATATACTAATAATATTGTCTGACTAGTCATTTTTTAGAACACCTACTGAGGTGGCTAGCCAGTTCCTCTGGCAGAGACTCACTCAATTATATTTTTGTTTCTTCAAAACACACAAATATAACCCAACTTGTGTTTCATACAGCAACTATGATGAGCAGACCTTTGTTACTGTTTCTTGGAGAAAGCACATTAGCTAGTGTGGTCCACAGTTTGAACAAGCCCTGTACACTCAAACCCTCAGTCACAATGACTTGTGACTTCATGCTAGTGCAATCACTGATGGATTCCAAACATTTTCATCTACCCAATTTCACTGACAAGATTTTGATCTGATCAACCTATGGTATGGTTTTCAGGCACTGCATGTAAGAGGGGGGTAATCTCCCTAGGCTGATAAAATCAAGAAGTCACCTTCCTAACAAACTGACCAGAGTAAAAATCAAACTTTGGTTTCATGTTCAGAATACAAATGTTCTAGCCGCTTAACTATGCACCTGTAGACAAAGATATATACATTGCCTCGGGGTTCTTGATAAGATCCAGAGACGGATATACAATGCAATTGGCCCCGATCTGGCAACTCATCTACAGTCGCTCTGACACAGACGTGCTGTCACCTCTCTCCGTCTTTTTACAAATACTTTCATGGTAATTGTTCCAATGAGCTGCTTTCGTGGTTCACAGGCTCCATGAATTCAAGCGTCCTACGAGGCTTTCATCCCGCTCTCACCCTTTTACTGCTGAAACTGTTAAATGTAACTGTCTCTTCTACTCCAATAGCTTCATATCTCGCACCTCTCGCCTGTGGAACTCCCTTCCCTTTTCCTGTTTCCCTGATTGCTATAATCTCCAACTATTCAAATGTAATGTCAACAGACATCTCTAGTTGCCTTGGTTTATCCACTATCCTTCTCATCATTCTTTCCTCTATCACTCCTATCTGCTCTCGCTCCAAATCCTATGTAACTGCTTGCTTGCTAGTGGCTTCCAGCTTTGCTTGGGGTGAAATGCTTGAAAAAAAAAAAAAAAAAATATATATATATATATATACACACATATGATGCATACTTACTTTTAACTGAGTCTTGTGAATTTTTTCTGGAGATTTCTTTGGTGAAACAGTTTCTGCTTGTGAGAGTGTTTTGTCTGAAGTCCTGCCTAATGTGAATGCCTTTTTTGGTTCTTGGGAAACCTTCTTTTCAGGGGTTCTATTTAAAGTAGCAGAACGAGGAGCAGTCTTAGGAGGCAATGTAGTTTCATTTGTCAGCCTTGTGGACGTAGGTGAAGGAACAGACATGTGTTTATTTTCCAACATTTTCTCTTGAGATTTTACACGAACTTCAGGAGATGGAGGTTCAAGACCCTGAGCTGCCATCAAATTTGGTGTTGAAGCAGCATTACGTCTAAGTGAAGAAGTCATTGGTATATCAGTAGCCTGAGACATGTGTGTTTTAGGCGGAGTGGGTGCAGGAGCCTTTTTACTCCTTACTATAGGTTCATACAAAAAACCATCAGTCAAAACAGTAACACCACCAGACATTGTTTCTATCACAAAATTCCCTTGACCCACAGGGCCAGGTAGGGTTGTACAGTAGATCTGTCTTGGAGATTCATACTCCAATGTTGACATGCAGTCTACATTGGAAATTGACAATGTAACAATATCATTTTTATCCTGTCCCAGGTAATCCCCAACAACAGTAATTCTAGTTCCTCCTGCAGCAGATCCTTTATTTGGTGTTATGTATGTAATCTCTGGTTCGGTACCGACACAATCTAAAGTAAATGTGCTGACAGCCTTCAGACGAAAAGCTCGAGATTGAGTCTCAGGTTCTTCATCATCAGATAAATCCCCTTTGCCAACATTGAATATGTCATGCAAAGATCGTGAGATCTTTTTATTGAATGTTGAAAGCACGTTTGACTTGCGATCCTTCTTAAAAAATTTGCGAGCATATCCAGGTGATCTTGCAAGTGTCATAAAAGGATTGGTTTTTAGCCAATTGTTGCTAGCATTACTCTTGTTGACATCGTCTTCAATGTCACTAGATGTGCGAAACTTGGAGATGTAACATTGGTAGATCAAGTCCCCATGTGGCTTGGCATTTTTCTTGTGAGGCTGCAGTGCCGTACGCACCACTCGCCCTTTGGAGTCACGTAAAGAGGACAAAGGGACCAAAACCTGTCCCAAGATATCTTCCTTTTCAGTCACATTCAAAAAGATGTGGTCACAGGTATTGTTCACTTTGCTGAAAAAAAAAAAACAAAGGCAGTTAAATAAGTAGAAGGGGTGGAAATTTTAGAAAAAAAAAAAAAAAAACGAATTTAGTTGTTAACCATTTTTCCTAGAAAGAAATATATTTCTACATTTTATTATACACTAAGGAATTGGTGGGTGGAGAAAATACCTAGGTGGGTGGAAAAGGGTGCAGTCAAATTTATAAATGACACTTATTAAAAATATATATAAAAAGAATGAAAAAATTTTTAAAAATTGAAATTAAAAACTAAATAAATAAAACATACTTTCTCCAAAAAATCAGTGGATATAGATTGTAAGAGCTGTTCCAATGACTTCATTTTAAATGTGAATTAATTTTAATCATCTAATGATTTTTTCTTTTTCTTTCTGATTTAACAACTTGAGAATTTCAACCATGGAAAGATTAACAATCAAACAACAGGTTAAAGTTATCGAAGCCTATTATGAAAATGGATGTTCAAACAGAAATGCATTATGTGCACTTCATGATTTTTCTGGTCAAAATAATCGACCAACTGAGAGTGCAATTAGAAACAATATAACGTTGTTATGAGAGGTTCAATTCCTGTGCGTGATGACAAATAGAGTTGTCTGTATTTTCGGCCACATTCTCATGCACTGCAGCAATGTTTTCAGTGAACGGTGTAAATGAGCACACAATGGCGTTTTCACATCTGCCACCAACCCAGTTTGTTTGAATGTATGAACAATTTTTCCAATTGCATTCTTGAAACTTTAAACCATTGTTTGATTGTTAATCTTTCCTTGGTTAAAATTGCCAAAGATTTAAGTTGCTAAATCTGAAAGAAAAAGGAAAAATATCATTAGATGCTTAAACGTAATTCACATTTAAAATCAGTCCAAGTTATTGGAACAGCCTTTACTTAAATGTATTACAAAAATCTCAATTTGGAGGATTCTTTTTAGATTTCAGTCTTAAAATTAACTTAGAGAAAGGGATAAATGTATCATGATATATCTACTACACAAAAAATGTATTATGATATTCCTTCTATACAAAAAATGTATTATGATATATCTACTAAACAAAAAATGTATTATGATATATCTACTAAAAAAATGTATTATGATATATCTACTAAATAATAAATGTATAATGAAGTATCTACTAAACAAAAAAAAGTACAATTATACGTGATATTAACAAACTTAAACTAATGAATTTAAATGAAGTTTTCATATAAAAACATTTTGGAGGGATTTAAAGCAGGTTTTAAATTCAAAATACACTTACTAGTAAAATACATAATGCAATTTATTTTTGAAAAATTCTTAAAATGAGAGCAGATAATTTTAGTTATAAGTACAATGACAGTTTACTTTTAATGCATTTTACTTGAGAAACAAGTCTTTTATTGTCATTTGAGATATAAGCCAAAAGGCCAAAGAATGAAATGGCTTATTCTTGAGAATGCAGAAAAAACTGATATGAATAGAGTTCCTTTCATGGAGGAATGATTTTAACAGATATGTGAAATGTCTTGTGAGACATGGTAAATCCTGTGTAATTTGGCAAATGAACAGATTAATTTTTCTTTTTAATTAATGTCCACTCAAACAAGAGCCCAAGAGCTGCTCAAGGTAGAAGGTTAGTGTAGTGTTGTATTAATATAAGTAAGGATAAGTGTTAAGAGTATAGGGTTGATGTAGACTTTAGAAGGAACTGGAAACCTAATCCTAAACATGAAGTAAAGGATAAACCTCTACACCTGTTCAAAAGACCTGGTGGGGAGTGTGAACGGGACGATAGGCAAACCTATCTACTTCTATTCATGGTGGAGTAAAAAAACAAAAATTAAAATAAATAATTAGTGAATAAAATTTCAGAGTTCAGGTGCAGACATTAGGAGTATGGAGCTGAAGCAGATTTCAGAAGGAACTGGAAACCCAATCCTAAACAGGAAACAAGGCATAAACCTTTAATCCTGTTCAAAAGACCAGGGGGGAGTGTGAACTGGACGATAACAAATATATCTTTTTTAAATTTTCTGGACTTTTAACAACATTTCATGTGGACTATATTTTCCAGATTTAATTCCTCAAATAAACATATCTTAATCTTTTTTATTACATAACAGTTCAGCCTAGTCAATATGCCATCCTATATGGCAGTGCGTACTGTAAAATCTCCTCACAGATGAAGGATTTAAGGCAACAGAAATGTGTTTATACAGAAGAAGAGCAAATCATGGACAAAACATGTGAGCAATGACAAAGTTTTAAGCAAGATGAAAGCAAAAATGACACTTAAAATCAGAAAAGAAACTAATGAGGAAAGAGGGTTTGGAGAGTTTGACACTCAAAGGACATATTGAGGGGTAGATTGAAACACCAAGTAACATGCATTTACCTAACATGCATTTATAAATGGGTGGCAGAATAAGGATTGGGAGACAGATCTACAAAGGATAGGAAATTGTCCTTTTATCATCCATATCTTGAAGGGACATGGAAAGATGATGACAAATCAATATTGATTCCTATTTCCATTATTGTATTGGTCAGGTTATCATTTACTTTTGTTTTCACATTGTGCTGGTAACATTAGGCTATTCATATATCTTTGCCTATTTGTTAGCCAAGCAAACATTATAATTACAGTGACATGTAAATAAAGCTTGACAAATGTTTTAAATGAACACACCACAGATTCAGTTAAAAAAATTTCTTTTAGGAGAAGCAAATTTCTTCACTTTGTTATATAAAAAGAAAATTGAAATGGCTGTTGAAAAATCTATGAATAGGATCAATGAAAATGACTGTTTTGTACTGACAAAATAAGCTCTAACTGCCAATGGTTCTCCACTACTTCCTATCCCTTGTAACTAAGTAATGTTTATCTCCCTACTATCCCTCTCAGTTCCTGTTCTGCTATCCATTTAATCAAGCTCATTAATCCCTCATCTTAAATATATACTGTGAGTGTCAAATTTTCCAGGCCCCCTTTTCTCATTATGCATCACTGAAATTTCTACCCTTTCTGATTCTAAATAGACATGTCCGTTTTCTTCTCATTTTACTTACAATGTTGCTCATATGTACCATCCATAGTATTCTCAGTATCCTTCTGTAGAGCCACATTACTTCAGATTACTTCTTCCTCTGTTATTTGGTTTATTTAGTTTGTTTTATTGCATATCAACCTCAGTGGGTTATTTAATGTCAACAAGATTTTTAGGATGTGTTCGTATGAATAGAATATGTATTCTTTGTATGATATCAGTTTGTAGATCATATTTTATTGGCATATTTTTGAAAAGAGGGTTTTCTTGAGAGGGAAATCTATTGCTGGTAATAATATATTTTTTTTCAAAAATATATTGCTGGTATTTTTACTATAAAAACCTATATTTACCGATTCATAGTATTTTGACTCCAGTTTTGGGGTTAACTATTTACCCATAGCTGTGACTCTAACAGGTGTTACCACCCCAGGTTAGGGTGAACCTGGAAGCAACAGCAATTAAGAGTTGGTTCTACATTCCTCAAAACCTCAATGATCAGAGGCCTTCCTACTGGATGATCTCCTCTGTGATGATACTGTTCTGCATTCACTGGATTATAAGAGGTTTGATATATAGCAGGTGAGTACCATTTTTTTTTCTTTGTTTGTAATGAAATTTCCTGGTTTTTTAATACTTTTACTGGAAAGCATCTTTTGCTATTTCGATGTTCCTTTTGCTTTCTTTGTTACATTTACATTTTCTGTCATCTGTTATAAAACTCTCCAATTTTTTTGCTCGATTGATTTTTATGTTTTCAGTTCATAGCTTGTATTTTAGGCCGACCCTCATGCTAACAGCCATTGATTCTGCCATAAAGTTAATGGTTATTCTTTTCTTCTTGCTTTCCTTTAGCACAGTGTCTACAGAGTTTCTGTAATTTTCTTTATGTGTCTGATACAGTTGATAATTGTGGAGTTAGAGTTCAGCAACCATGAATAAGATCAAAAGAATCAGGTTGAGCTTGGATCAAAATTTAATCTGAATTCTAACAGACAAATAATTTCTTCATTTGGAGAAAAAAAAATTGATTCTACTCCAATGAAAAGTAAAACTAATAATGCACACACATAGCTGTCAAATAGTAATACATACATGTCAATTTTTATTTTAACCAGTTTCTCCAGACAAAATAAGAACACATTTTAAACTCTAGACAAAGTTAAAAAGTATCTCAGTGGCATTGTGGGTAAGGAATTATTTGCCAACCTACAACCCCTTTTCCACAGACAAAATTTTACAAGCTTCTTTCTACTCTACATGGAAAATGTTCTGATATCCCATAGTTCCACCTGTCCAGTCATTTACAGCTAGGACCATGTACACAGAGGCAAACCATCCTCAATACCTTTGTATTCCATTGGTAAGAAGGAAGTTTCATTTATATAGCTTCTTCCCAAGAGTCACTACTTTGTGAACAGATTCCTGAAAGGATGTTTCCCTGATCACTACAATCATAACTAAAGCATTATTTGTCCTACATATCTTCATAACCTGCAGTTCTCACATTTTCTTCTTCTGTCCATAAATAAACCTCATTTAGTAACCCTCTACCTTGAGTGGATCTTGGGCCCTGTATTGGGTAAACAGTTGTAAAAAAAATGAATAACTTACATAATAGATTCTTCATTCCATTCTGGATTACCTCCAGGGTTTTTCACAATTGAGGTTCGATACTTTTTTGATCCAAAACCAAATATCACAGAGTATTTGTGTCGACCTGAGAAATATAAGCAATCATAATGAAAAATAATATAGAAGAAATCATAACAAAAAATCTATTTATATTTCATTTTATATTGTGATGTTATTATTTTCCTTAATTTTAGACCATACTACTGGATAAACTGATTTCTTTCATATAGCAATTCAGAGGAATTTTCCTAATCAGTCTTTTTTCCTGAGAACTGTTTAAACTATACTATAAAAAATTCTTTACAGATTTTTCTGAACTTTTATTTATTTTAGATTGTTGACCTAAAAGAAAATTAACATTTCAGAAAATCATTTAACTTTGAATAAAATACAAATTATTTTTTTTACAGTAAAACATTTAAAAGACTTTTCAGACAGAAGAATGCCATGTGTAGAGAATTTTCAATAATTACTTTGAACTTTGATCAGGAATAAGAGAAAAGAGAGAAAAGAAAAAGATGAAGGAAATTTCTTTGTTCCCATAAGTCCTAGCAATTTATTTTCATTCTATAAAGGAAGATGCAGATTTGAATTCTGCCTGAGAGTAGTTTTTCTTTATCAAGTCTCTCAAATGCACAGGCCGATAGACATAATTCACACTGTTTAATAAAAAGTATTCACAAAATAATGTTTAGAGTAATAATATATAATATATATATATATATATATATATATATATATATATATATACACAAGGTAACCAAAAAAGATCTGTCCGTTTTTAAAGGAAAAAAAGAAAATGCTTCACAGTATGTGTAACTTATATTTAGTCTTCAAAGTAATCGTCATTGGCATCCAGCACCTTCTGCCAATGTGTCTCCAGCTGTTCAATGCCCTTGCAGTAGAACTCGGGGGGGTTTTGATGCAAAGAAGTCCGATAGGCCTTTGCGCAAGTCTGCTTCATTGGTGAAGGATTTCCCACGAAGATGATTATCCAGAGAGTGGAAGAGATGGTAATCAGATGGCGCAAGGTCAGGTGAATAAGTTGGATGGCACAAAGTCTCCCACCCAAGCTGCTGTATGATATCCCTGACTATTCACGCGACATGTGGCCTGGCGTTGTTATGGAAGAAAAGCACACCTTTGTGATTCACCAGTGCTGGCTCCTTATGACACAATGCCCGCTGCACATGTTTCAATTGCTGCGAGTATAGGTCTCCAGTGACAGTTTGGCCCATTGGTAGCAGTTCATAATGAAACACTTGATGACCTGTCCACCAGACACAAAGCATAATCTTGTGTGGGTGCATAGGCGGTTTTGCGGTGTGAGGGACAGCATCCTGAGGAGACAACCAATGTCTGGAACACTTGGGAGTTTCATACAGAACCCACTTTTCATCACTGGTAAGCACTCGATTGAATAAGGATGCGGTACGGTGGCAAGAAAGCTGCGATACACAGGCTGCTACTCGTTGTCCCTTGTGGACCTCTAACAGCATTTGCAGAACCCACTTGCTCAGTTTGTACGTCTTATCTAGGCAGTGAGGGTGAAGTCTAACCATTTCATCGGAAACATTGAACTGTCTTGCAAGTTCACCACACATTAGACTACTGTCCTCTTCAATGGCCGCCTTCAGGACTACGTCATTCAAGACCTGTGGTCGTCCACTGCGAGGCTCATCATGGAGAGACAAATCTCCCGACTTGAATTTTTGAAACCAACAACTTGCAGTACGTTCATCCACAGCACTATCCCCAAATGCTTGACATATGCGGCAACTTGATGCAGCTGCTGATAAGCCCACATGGATGTCATAAAGCAAACAGCCCCGAACGAGATCTCTAGACACTTCCATCCTTCTCACAGCTTATAACTGATGGCCGGGCATGGTGTGCGTGTCTTTTATAATGATGTTCCTGCTTCCGGCTGTCCAAATTTGAAAACAATTGCTACACGCATTTCGTATACATTTCAACTTCATTCAATGACTAATCAAAAAACAGACAGAACTTTTGTGGTTACCTTGTATATATATATATTTGTGTGTGTGTGAAACAGCACACAGTGAGCACTGGTAGTAGAATAGATAAAACACAAGTAAAATAATGGCAAAAATTATATTAAAAAGAATTATATCTGTTGCTCACTACTACTTCAAGATTCCTGCACAATGCAATCATTAGGCAAAAATTGAAAACAGAAAATAAAAACTTTAAATTGAGCCTGAGGATTGCTTGCAGTGAATGGCAGTCATGATATACTGGATGTGTGATGTGTCTGCTGAGAATGAGGTTGGGTCAGATTCACTTTTTGTGAAGCTAGGCCTTGATAACCTTCATTCACTGCTGCACATCCATAAATTATACTTAGCTGGTCTTGTTGAGTGCAGCGAGGAGCCTATCAAACGGTATCCTTTGAAAAGTTTTCTGCATGAGGTAATTGGTGATTTTGACTATTCCTATATACAGAATCATTCCTAATTTTTCAGATATGATGGCTTCTACTTAAAAGCAATTTCTACTTAATTTCACAAAAGTTTTATTGAATTTCAATCAGGCAATTGAGGTGAAGAGTTTGTATAGCAACACCCGACTTTACATGTTGTCAAAATCTTTTGAGATGTTTAAGGCAAGTTTGAAAAGATTTTTCATGTATCAAAGCAGTAGGTGATAAAAAATTAACCCACCTGGTTTTTTACCCTGTAGTCCTTTGGCACTGTGAACTGAAAAAAAAAAGAAAGAAAAAAGGTTAATTTAATGGATTGTTAGTTTTTCTATGTCCTGTGTGTTTTCAGCACATAGGTGATCATAGCTCTCCATAATTTCCTGTTTTTTTAGCACTTAGTAAATTTTGTCTATCTCCTAATTCCTGTTCTGCCAACAATTTACACAAGCATTGCTCTCTTTTGTTCTGCTTGCTTTCAATCTGTCCTGTGAGTATCAAATTTTCCAATCCCTCTTTCCTCAGCATATGCCTCAGAAAATTTAGCTATGTCTTTCTGATGTTATTGTTTTCATTTTCTCTAAAACTTACTTGTTGCTCATTTGTTCATCAGTCCATGGTTGCATCCTTCGACAGAACTACATTTCTGTTACCTTAAGTCTCTTCCCCACTTGGGAGGAGATTGTTCAGCATTCAATGCCATATAGGAGGAATGATGCTACATAATATTTCAGTACCCTTTTCTTTGTTTCCACTGAAACTTTCCTGATTCTTAAATTTTGGAATGCATCTTTAGATTTCAATGTCACATATGTGTGTCTGTATATACATACAGACACACACATACATACATACATATATAGACACACATACATATATACATACATACATATACACACACATACATACATCCTCTGATAAAGTAACTTCTAGATATTTATAGACTAAACAAGTTGGTTTTTTTTTCATATAGAATAAAAAGAAATCTAAAAACATTTAATGGAAACAGACTATTTTTAAAATTTATTTTCAAGAAAATTACATTCTTACATCTTTTCAAGTTGTAACTTGGTGCCTATTTTGTTCCAGATATTGTCTTCTTTTTTTTTTTTCTTGATTTCTGATTAAAAAATTAGGTTGAAGATAGTATTTAATTCTAAAACAGCAAAGTAATTAACTGATGGTTTTTGTTTTTTTGGTTTGTTAGATATTGCTAACAGATATGCATGTTGGTTGTGACTGTAAAAAAGAAAAAAACCTTGAAAACTTAAAAAGTAAGTACAGAAACAAATAAGCCATGTTTAACAATATAATCAAGATATGATCTTTATCAGAATTCATTAATTTTCTAAACTGCTAGTGGAAAAGTACATGCGTGTACAGGCAGAACTCAATGCGCATTTGATTAACAAGTTTTCGATAAGTGCACTAAAATTTTTATATGCCAAAATTCGATTAGCAAATACATAATACTCGATTAGAGCAGTAAAGCATTTTTCAGTTTAATCATAGTAATTGAAAACTGATTCCTATGTGAGTGTGTGTGTGTGTATATATATATATATATATATATATATATATATATATATATATATATATATATACACACACACATACACACACACATACATACATACATACATATATATATACATATACATACATACATAAGTGAACATTGAAGTCAACACTCAGAGGTGACTGGCTGTTTCATGCTAGATGCAATCGTCTAGCATGAAACAACTTGTCACCTCTGAGTGTTGACTTCAATGTTCACTTTTATATTTATATACGTGCTATTGCTGATATTGAGCACTTTATCCCATAAATATAGCACACTTTAAAACTATATTTCTGCATATATATATATATATATATATATATATATATATATATATAGTGTATTTAGGCAGCAATCCTTCATTTATACATGTTTCATTAAAGACAACAGACAAGGTACTTCAATTAAGCTTTTTATTTAAATTTTTCTTGCGTTCAAACAAGTGTTTTCTTTTTTGGACACAGTATGTAGAAACTGTCCAAATGTTCTATATTTCCAAGCACTTTCAGATATATTTTTAGCCATTATCAAGAATGATTTATATTTTTCCAATTTAATTGGGTGTGCAGGACATGTGTATGCTTTTAATTTTATAGAAATGTTTTATTTTCTGAACACAGCATACTGTGGCCATGCTCATAGTTAATATTATTAAGTGTTAGGTTTTTCTTTTTTACTATTAAGGCTTCCATTATTTTTTTTTTTTTTATTACATGTGGATACGGTTTTTGTGTTTGTATTTTCTACTAGTATATTTCAGATGGAGTCTGGTAAGTTTGCGTGTGTGTGTGTTTAAATGGATTCTTATAGAGCTGTTTTCAGGTAGATGTAACTTAAGGCATCTGGATTGGCATGTAAGTGCACAGAATTACAGATGCCTAGATGTATTAGTGTGTGTGTGTATATATATATATATATATATATATATATATATATATATATGAAAAAGTTTATAGTTGTTTCAACAAGATAAAAATGTATATTTAAAAAAAAATATTTTTAAAAGAGAGAAACTTCAAACATTTTTTGTTATAATTTGGATTTGTTTTAGTGTATATATTATATTTTATTCTTCATATTTCTGCTACACAAGTTTCCAGTCTTGTGACCATCTTCAGGCAAATAAAAGGATTAAATTTTTGAAAGAAATAAATTTTCCTTCTGTTCTTTTAATGTTTTATCATTCATTTTCTGTATTTGAAGTGGGCCTTGATCACATTTCTGGACTGTTGGCAAAAGTGAATTTCTGCCTAAGTGGTAATAAAACCATTAGGTTTGGCCTGGGAGGTGGTGATGATAGATGTGCTGATGAGAGATGTTTTCTTATCCTTACATTAGCCTTGAGACTGTCAAATCTATTTCTATTTTTGTGTAATGTGTGTGTGTGTGTTCCTGTTAGCTTGTATATGTATATTCCCTGCCCATATATACCTATAATCTTATAAAAGCAATCAGCACACACATACATTATATATATATATATATATATATATATATATATATATATATATATATACACATACATACATACATATATACATGCATACCCCCCACACACACACACATTCTTCCTGTGTTGTGTAGGGCTCATGTATGTGCCCATAAGTAGTCTACCTGTTTTTGCCAGTGTATGTATATATATTTGTTCTCCATGGATACCTGTTTGCATATGCGTATATGTATGTATGTGTGCAGTCCGACCAGTGTATCTGGCTGTCATGTGTGCATGCCATGTATTATGTGTGTGGGATTATGACCTGTTCAGTGCTGGTTTAAATTTGTCTGTGAATTTTTTTTTCTTGAATTTATATGAGTAGTTTTCTGTTTGGTATATTGGCATAATTTTAAATTTGCCTCAATTGCATTCGCGATACAAAGAGTTTTCTGTTGTCGGGTAATTTGATGTTGCTTTTGTGAAGGACAGCTCTGTTGGTAAGTGCTTGGCTAATGCTTACATATGACTTCTTGCATTCTGTGCATTTGATGAGGATTAGGTCTATACTATCAATAAGGAATTCCTTAGTAAATCTCGGATGTAATGTTTCTGGATATTTTTCAATGCAGAATGAAATTGCCCATTTACTTAATTCATGGGGTATTTGTACACACACACATATATATATATAAGTATATGTATTAGTACATATATATCTTGTTAATACATATTAGTATATGTATTAAATTACATCACTTAGTATCATCCCTAATTTACCTTTTTGTATTAGTACATAAAAATTCAAAATAATGCAATGACTAAATTAGTAAAAACACATAAATTTAAAAAAGCTAATATAAAAATGTACATTAAGTTGGCAAACTATTGTTTTAGCTTAAATATAGCCTGTTTTTTTACTCATACTTCACCCAATAAAAGGCCCTAGAGCCACTCAAGGTAGAGGGTTACTCAGTGAGATTGTTATAAGGGAAAGAGGTGGAATTAATAATATAATGATGTGTAGGACTATTTATATAATGGTATTTAGATAAACTAACTTTTGGTTCACACTATATAGGTAATGATTGATAGATTATTCACAAGCATTTGATAAATTATATCAAAAAGAAGTTGTGTAACTACTAGGTAACCACAACATATTTGGGAAGGATATTAGAATAATCCAGAACATGCACTGGCAACAAACTGCCTGCCTATGGATAGAAAATGAATTCATTAAATATACAAAAATAGAAATGGATGTAAGACAAAGATGTGTTTTCTCACCATATTTATTTAACTTATGCAGCGAGGCAATTCTGAGAGAATTAGAAGTTCTACTAGAATTCATTGCTGGTGGCTACAATCTTAATACCACAAGATATGCAGAGGACATAGCATTGATATACAGACACAGAAAGGAAACTACAAAAATTTCTACAGAATGTAGTGAAGGTAAGTGAGAAGAAAGGACTAAAGATCAATTATAAGAAAGTAGAATACAGTGTTGCTAGCAAAAGGGAGAGCTTGAACATGCAAATTACATGCAAATTACAATGTGGAGATACAATTAGAGCAATTTAAATATCTGAGAAGTTTTTTTAATAGAGGAATGTTTGTGGTTTTTAGAAAAATATCCAATTCAGCTTCCTGTCCTTGAAGAAAAACATTTTGGATATCAAAAGATATTTTCCATTTCTTTAATATTACAATGGCTATCAACAGATGAAAATTCATCTCAGATTGATTGATTTTTTTACAGCTGAATATATTTTAGACTGTAAGAGCTTTTTTAAGATAAAATTTACTGTTATAATCCCTATTAATTAACCCATAGCTGGGGAGAGAAGAGATGGATTTGTACCTTTCCCAAGGTTATTGTTGCGGATTCCAGGATGAAATGCAGTACCAATAAATAACAAATGCCAGGAATGAATATATGAAAATAATACATTAACGTAATAATACAAACTGGTAATGCAGGTTAGTAGTTCCAGTAATACGGGTTAGTAGCAAAATATATATACAGTCTTTGGTATTGAAGTATCGCTGTATGACTTCTTACTGAGTCTACGTGCTCGCTCACTGTGACTCCTACAACGCTGTTACCTACAACCTTTTACTCTGTCACTCTAGACTCGACTTTTCGGTCTTGCTCTCTCGGGTCTTCACATAGCCATAGTATATGTATATACTGGGTGAGTCCATTTGTGTAAAAAGGGGAGAACCCCTCAAGAGTTATTTGCATGTAAGTGAATATAAATGACTCCAACTGGAATTGGAACATAGCTCTTTGATTTCCATTTCTGCGCCATTATCCATTACACCATCTGCTCATCCAAGCTTACAGAACATGACATTCCCAAATGGTCACCCATCCATGTACTGACCAGGTTTGATGTTGCTTAAATTCGATGAACTGGTGTTTCAACATAATATGGCCATAAAATGGCAGTGTGGTTCTAACAGACAAGACCTAATATAGTATCTGTGAATTTTGATCAAACCAAACTGTGAAGTACAATTTTAATTATAATTGATGAATCCTCAATGATAGCCACTGGATCAAGTTATGATTCACAAATGCCTACATGGTGTTTCAGGGGTAATATTTTTTTAATCCCCAGTGGAAACAGTTTATTGAAAACTCACAAGTAACATATTCAAACTGTATAATTAACTGTAGATATATTTTCACAGTCTTCAAACATTATCCATTTTTGTTTTGAGCAGAGAGAGGAGGCATTTTGGTTATTCAATGAAATTTTCCATTTCTTTGATGTGCAATGGCTATCAACAGATGAATATTCATCTAAGAACAAATAGGTGAATTTATATGCAGTTTCACATTACTATCATCAAATCCCCTTGCAAACAAAGTGTATTTTTCATAGCCTTCTTTAGGAGTCATTATCGGTTCTACCAACAGCATTTTCTGACCAAGATTATCTATCTCATTACAAACTTTATATTTTTCTTCCATTTTTCAAATTTTAAGGAATGCTTACTTATAAGTGTGTGGGGATTATGCAGAATGACATAATCAAGATGTTAATGTCCCACACTACTTCAAATAAAATGTTAAGAAACTCCCCATCAACACTATAAAGAGCAACAACAGCTACCTGTCTTGAGAAACCCATTTTCCTGAAAAATTGTTTTACAAGAAAGATTTTATAAATTTCAACTGATAACGGTTTTGGCTGCTCAGTCAGTAAATGCCAAATGTTTTCTTGTAGGGAAATGGCTAATATTACCATTTCCTTGTCAGCTAAGACACCCACTAGGTGGCATATTTCAGGACTATAAAAGAATAGACATAATCCTTTCTCCTTCACTTTTGCTTTGGGATCTAATAGTGAGGGAAACAATCTCTCAGACAGCAAACTTCTTAATTTCAATGAAATCACATGAATATCACACACACACACACACACACACACACACACACACACACACAATGGCTAAGTACATGAATATTATATTTTTCCTGTGTTCGTCTTGTCTGGTTTTACCATGTCCACATATTGAGAGAGTCTCTCCCAACTGAGAAAAACACTGGTGTTATATAGCTCTCCCAATTGAAGACCCATGCTGACTAATACCTGTCCAGTATCATTCATATGCAAATTGTCAGTGCCAACTACTCTAAGTAGGTTTTCTCTCAACAGCCTATTGTGGAAGGGGATGCAACTTCTGGTGCTTACAGCATCACATACAACCAACTTGGAGTTTTTTATCAGGCTGACCTGATTCTCTGTTACACCCCACCACCCAATCTTCTGATCACTGCACCAACATGCAGGAGTGGGCTGGTTTCCTTCTGATGCTCCTTCACGAAGGAGGTACTTTCACCTCATTGTTGTCACTACGTGGAGGAGTTACTTCATCCTCAGGGTTGTCATTATCCATCTCCACCATGGCAGGCAGTGTATCAAAAATCCAGGAATCTATTTCCAACTCACCATTGCTCTTGGATGAATCATCGGTGTTGCTTGTGGCAGAGCATTGGTCCCATGCAGGTTGGAGGTCTTTATTATGATTCAGCAAGCCATCAATCAGGACGGATTGTAGATAAATTATCCCAGTGACATTCCATGCTTTCTTTTTCTGTGGCTTTACTCACACCACTTGTACATCAATCTTGACAGGACTTCAACCTTGCAATCGGAAAGCAATGACTTTGATCCCACATCTGGCTCTGGCCTCCCCATCTATTGTTGTTATGTGTACAGGCCCTTTCATCCATGACTGGCATATCTCTCTGCTGGCTATAGAAAGCAAACAACCAGTATTGACCAGTGCAGTGATGGTTCTGCCATCAACTTGGACCCCGATCACAGGTAATGCCAAGCTGGAGAATATACTGTTACTGACATATCTCTTCTCACGTTTTCTCAGACAGTTTTGAGATATATGGCACATGGTAACAGTGCAGGGCATTGCATTGTCCTCGTTGTCATCCCCTGTCATGTTGTTAGATCCAACAATCTTTCCCCATGTGGTTAATGCCATTGCATCTAAAGCACTTTATGACATGAACATCCGTACTTTGCCTGCCATGACTTCCTCCATCTCATCATCTCTCATAATTGCATGGGTTTGTGCAAGCAACTGGTCAATAGACAGCACATTCATCCTAGACAATGCATAAAGTGTCTGTTTTACATTGCCTGGCAATGCAAAGTAGACAAATGCACAAGCCAGCATACAGTAACTATTCTGCCCATCAAGAACATGAATTAGTTCTTGCTGAGAAGTTAAAGCATTAGCTCAGGGTTCTGATAATTTGTTTAGGTTTGAAGAAAAATAGGCTTCAGAATTTAGGATAGATCTTTCTACATTTTGTACTTGATTTCAAACTTCTGTGAGGTTGAGCATTTTGTTTTCAAGAAGTCTATGCTGAATAGGTGGTACAGATAACCAGAAATAAAGGCATCTCTGATACCGTCTTTGTAAACTTGAATGGTAACATCTTTGAATTTACATTCCTTCACCAGAACGTGCAATGCTTGTAGATATTGATCCAAAATTTCCCCAGTCTGTTAAGTTCTAGTTGCAAGTACATGCCTGGCATATATCTCGCTTTTTTCTTGGATGAAAGATCTCTTTAGAATGTTAATAGCTTCTTCAAATTTTGTACATTTGCTGAACAATTTGAATACATCAGATGACATATAATTTATAAGAATATCTGACTCATCACCCTCAATATGATTGAGGAAGTTTTAAAATGTTCAGTACCAATAATTCCATATTTTCTCTGCCCCAGGGGTCTTACTGTCTAGGTCCAGAATTTTAGGTTATAGTACCCTGTACATTTTAATATCTGAAGCAAAAAAAATTAGTAGTGAATAGAATGTTTTGAGCTATAATTAGCTAAATGTATTCACTAATTTTTTTCTCATAGTTTATTCTTTAATGTCATGACTAATTTAGCCACAAACTGTATCGACTGTTATTTATATGGTCGAGATTTGCATATGCATACAACAGTCATCATGAACCAAAATTGGGAGGTGGAGGAGAGAGGTGACCATAGTGGTGCAAAATGCACTAACTGAATAAATAAATGAATGAATGAATGAATGAACACATACAAACGCAATAAAGAAGTGAGTAAACTTGAAATATGCTTCTAAGATTTCCCAAATATTGGGCTAAATATGGTGCTGGAAAATTTTGAGTCAAATTAATATTTCTTTCCTCAATTAGAAGAAGGAGAAGAAAAAGAAAATTCATTAATCAGTCAAACTGTGATATTGTTTGCAGGAATTTTCCAATGGTATCACAAGCTGGGATCGTCTCCCCAGGATGATAACATCAAGAAGACACCTGCCTTACAAATCAACCAAGGTGAGATTTCAAATCCAGGTATTATGGTCAGAATACCTATGTTCTAACCACTAAGCCATGTGTTCACAACTGGCTAACATGACAACAATAATCATTAGTTCTTTCATGAGGTGATCTCAAATTTTAACTACCTTATACCAGACATGCTGCAATAAAAATAATGAAAATGAAAGCAGAATTACCTATCACAGTGACTTCATCTGGGACTGGCTGCTCCATCTTCATTGTTTTTCAGCTCTTAATTTCATGACTTGTGCAACTGATTTGTGTTTGGCTCTGGAATAAATAAAAGGCAAAGTCTGAATTTAAACAGTAAGCAATAAAAAATATTTAATTTCCAACCTTTGTAAAACTTTCACATTATACAGAGATTGTAATCCTTTTCTATTTGGGAAAAAGAGTCATGTTTGATAATCTATATTCAAGATCAAAGATCATTATTATTTACTGTTACAATGGATTCCATTCAAGCAACACAAACATATTTATAGGATTAGATTTCCACTGAACTCAAATTAATCATTAATAATCTTCTATATACACACAACTGTTTAGTTTCATATTATCTGCATGTTTGTAATATTGGATTTTTTTGTTATTTTGATGAAATAAGGTCAAGTATTAATGACTTTTTTTTTTATTTAGTATTCCTTTCGTTTTAATTCTACTTGCTTTTTTCTACTCATATTTGCCTTTTACTGCCATAATTAAACAGCAGAGATATCAGAAATAAAGAATGAACCCAAAAAAGACTTGCTTTTATTTTTCTATGCCTGTTTAGGCAGGATGGCTGTTCTATAATTTCTGTTATTAGAGTTAATCAAATCTAACTGTATAGACTCTTCATTCCTGCCTCTGATCTGCACCAGAGACACTTGTTTTTTTTATTATTATTATGAGTATTATTATTCTTCTTCTTATTATTATTATGTAAATGAATGGCAGAACAGGGTTTAGGGGAGATAACAAAAAGACAAAAAAATTTTAAGAGCTACAAAGCATAGGGAATTGTAGAGAGCCAATGTTCTGAAATGAGATGGCACATAGAACAAATAGTGGTAGTATTATTTTAATTTTTTTTTATCTGTTATTTACTGATATTGTAGAACAACAGTCTAAGCAATTGCAATAAAAGGTAAAATGGGTTAAGACAAAAGAAATCTATGTGCTGCATCTCTACAAGACATAGGCAATAATGGCTCTCCACAAGTTCCACTAGCCAGAAATTATGCTATGTAGATGCACATATTAGTTGGAGATTCCTAATTTTATTGTCATACGATAATTCTGCAGGATATTTAATCTACTGTAATGAGGAGTGCTCACATATTTTCTAAATTAGCTTTTGTGGCTGGCAATTCAATATAGGGTGGCAACCCTTAAATTAACTGTGCATTTGTTCCATAAATTAAGTGGACTTCAATTGTTGTCCTTGAAAGAGTAAATTCCAATGATATTTTATTTCATCTGTGAGGAATACACTGAACATTTTCATGCACAGACCTTTCATGTTTTATGAAATTAGAGTCTGTCTGGATAAGAGCTATGAGAAAAATTTAAAAAGACTATGTAAGTGTTGTAACCTAGGGAAGGTTACTGAATAGAATAATCAAGCAAAGGTTGGTAATGAATGATAATACTTAGGACAAGATCAACACATGGCACATAAAAGTAGTCAATTGCTAGAAGTGAGTCAAGTGAATTCTACAATGAATTTCTAACTACAGGAAATCTATCAACCACCCCACACAGTTAAATGTGGCACAAGGCTGAATTTAATGTGAGATATCCTAGCCTGTAGGCTTGGACTAAAAATCCTTGTAGACCCTGTTTAAAACAGGGTCAGGTAGCCGTTTCCTGAGATGAGACACTGCCCATCAACATAGACTCATCTGGGGATCCTCTCTGCCCAAAGGCAGAGGGTTTGACCAGCACAGCTGGAGATGAATCTCCAACTGCAAGATATCTACCAACCACCCCACATGGTCAGATGTGGTACAAAGTGAATTTAATGTGGGGTATTCAAACCCGTAGGGTTGGTCAAAAAAATCTCCATAGAAACCGTTTAAAATAGAGTCGGTTAGCTGTTTCCCGAGATGAGATTCTGCCCTTCGACATAGCCTTGTCTGGGGATCTTCTCTGTCCGTAGGCAGAGAGTTTGACCAGCATAGCTGAATCTCCAACTGCAGACCAACATACATTATTGTCCATAGGTATGCTACAACAGTAAGTTAATGTTTAAGTCATAAAGTTGAAACAACTTAAGAAAACAGATTATTAAAAAAAAAAAAAAGAAAAGAAAAATTATCTCCTGATAAATTAAATCAAAAGAAAAGAAATGGTTAGCATCAGTGCTTAAATAGTAATTTGATGTGCCAAGTCCCTTCAACACATGGGTGATCAGAGCTTTCCACAACTTATCCTTTGTAGCTTTAAGCAATATTTCCCCCTTTCTGTTGCACACAGTCCTTGTTCTGCCATTCATTAACACAAGCTCATTGGCTGTCTGTATTTCAGAGATGAGGTATTGTAATTATTTATATTATTTACATTGTTGCCATATTTACATTTCATCCATTGTATCCTCTATCCTTCTTCAGGCAATTGGAATTATAAACCGAATCCTTTATTTCGTCCATTGGTTGGATTCTTCTAGTTCCATGTGCTATGCCTTCAACCAACACTTTTATGGCCCAGTGGATAAAAATGTTGGTTGAAGTAATCCAGTGACTTGACCCAAAGAGTTGTGAGTTCAATACCTCGCTACGGCAGAGGTGAACAAGAACTTGGAGAGTTAAGGGAAATAACTGATACCGAGTTATCTGGAAGAGGCTTGGCATGTGGAACTGGAAGAATCTTCCCTGATGGACGAAGTATTGGGTTTGGTTTGAAATTCCAATCACCTGAAGAATGCCAAAGTGTACAACAGTCAAAATTGTGTGAATATCACAACAAAGATGAAAACAACAGTCCAGACAGTGTAAATAAGCTAACTGGGCAGGTTATACAGTCTTTCCCCTTGCTCATTTTGCTTTCATTGTGTCCTGTGAGTATTAAATTCTCCTGGTTTTCATTCCTCATTACAGGTTCCAGAATTTTCAACTGCCTCTTTATGATTCTAAGTAAAAGTGGACACATGGCACAGTGAATAAAGGTGTTGTTTAAATCCAGTGACAAGACAAAAAAAAGAGTGTGAGATCAATACCCAGTTAAGGCAGTGGAGAACTTTCAGAGGGAAATTAACAGGAGATAACTGATAACTGACATCCATCAAACATGGCACGTGGAACTAGAACAGTCTAGCCCAGTGAGCGAAATAAAGGGTTCAGTTTGACATTCCAACCATCTGAAGAAGGCAGGCGCGTACAACAGCCAAAACGTTGTGATAGATATGGCGAAAAAGATGAGGACAATAGTCCGAATAATGTAAATAATGTTTTTATTTTCAGTTTACTTAAAACTTCCCCATTGCTCATATGCTCCATCTCTAGTATTCTCAGCATCATTCATTAGAACCATATTTCCTCTTCAACTATGAGAAAATTCTCCAGAATTAATTGGCATATAAGAAAAGTAATATTACAAAGCAGGTCAGTGCTGTTTCCTTTGTAGTACACCAAGGAAAAAAAAAATCACCATTAAGTGTTTAATAATAATTGAACTATTTTAGCATCATAGAAAACATAAAAATATCTGTATACAACATTTCGATTAACAGTAACATTTTATATACGACTTTGTTAAAATGAGTTAAGATTGAATCAAAGCACAATTTTATTTGGTTCTCTTTTCATGCACACACACACATTATATATATATATATATATATATATATATATATATATATATTATAATTATTTTTTAAAAATATGATTCCTTCGCAGTATGATTCCTTGGCTCTACTTTTGTATTGAGCACCATTTTTTAAAAATAAAAACAAAAATACTAAAGAACATCGGATTATTTACCTGACGTGCTCTTTCCGATTTTTGTATATATTTGCACACACACACACACATATATATATATATATATATATATATATATATATATATATATATATATTAGTACACAATAAAATTCAGAAATACCTCATATGGGGAATAGGCTTATTTCAACCCATGAAAAAATTTGTCAGTCTTATTCAACCCTGGTACAGACGTCTATACCAGGACTGAATAAGACTGACAAATTTTTCATCAGTTGAAATAAGCCTATTCTCCATATGAGGTAATTTGGGATTTTATTGTGTACTAATTATTTGCTCTGTATAACAAATATAATGAGCTCTTTTTGTGGATCAGTTTTAATATTTTTTATATTACTAGGATCCACTTGGATTATATACCAATGGATTTATTACCATATATATATATATATATATATATATATATATATATATATATATATATATAGATAGATAGATAGATAGATAGATAGATAGATAATTGATAATATTAGTGGAAAATATACATACGTATGCAAAATATATAAATACCCATACATGTATATTTTCAGAAAATATTCCAAGAGGAAGAATCCAGGTAGAACTCAATGTCTAGGACAGAGTAAGGATATAATAAAAAGGCTTAAACACTAATATTCCATGGTCATAATTTATTCCATTGGAATCGTAAATACGATCCAATTCATCAGACCTACAAATTCAAAAGTGTGTATACATGCATGTATGTGTGTGTATGTATCCTTTGTATTATTTTGTTTTATATATATATATATATGTGTGTGTGTGTGTATGTATATATATATGTGAAAAGTGTGTGTATATGGATATTGATGAATATGTGTATGTGTGAATATATGATTATATATTTTTTATATGTGTGTACACGTATGTATGTTTGTGTGTGGGTACGCGCCTATGTGAATGTATATACATGTATATATTATTGTGTGTATTCACATGTGTCTTTGAACATAGAAATATAGGTCCTTGCTGGATTAGACAATCGTTATATTTTTATCGTCATATATTTATATTTGATTTGTAACCTGTAGTCGATATTAAATTTGTCAAATTTTCTCAATTACAAAGCGGCTCTTTAAGTAAACACAATTTTACTTTCCTTCGTCCCATCTCTCCCCTACCTCCTCTTTCCCTTCCCCTCCCTATTATTCTAGCATTAAATTGTCGATGGTGTGTATGTCACCACGAAATGTATCTTTATGCATTAGACATCCGTCGACATTCATTCTCTTCTCTT